CTAAGGTCTCAAAGGTCACTGTTGGTGGCAGAGCATTTAGCTACCAAGCTCCTTTACTGTGGAATCAGCTTCATTTATGTTAAGGAAGCAGATACTGTCTCCACATTCAAGGCCAGGCTTAAAGCACTTTACTTTAATTTAGCATATAATTAGGTAATATATAATATGTAGTGTATATATTACATATATATGCTGTATTATGTTATATATTATGTTATATATTATTCAATAATGTATTGTGTTATGTTGTATATTATGTTATATATTATGCTGTATGTTATTCTTTATTCAAGGCTTGGTTTAAAACAGTCCTCTTTAGTTTAGCATATGGCTAGGAAGGTAAGACTCGGAGAAGGTTAAACTCCTCAGAGTGTTAGTCAAGCTGCATAGGGAGTCAGTTTGCTGGGAGAAGTATGGTAACTTGAGCACTATCCTCTCCTCCTTCCTACTTTATCTGTTTAGCATTTTTAGGATTCTGACTGTAGTTTGTTCATTGCTATTCACCCGTTGTCCCATTGTCTGTTTCATGGTACGATGACGGGATCTCTGAGCCTGGCCTCTTCCATCTACACCTGCGGACTGCCCCGCCCGACCCGCCTGGGAGTGCTTCAGTCCTGCACCGGACCTGTCCACGTTCAGCGTCCACTGGTCCACGTTCTGTAGCTAGCTTAGGTCCTAGATCATTAGCCTGTCCGTCCGGAGGAGCGGATCCCTTTCTCATATGGGTCTCCCTCCCTGTGGGTTTCCCTAGTTCTCCTCCAAGGTTTCTCACTTTTTCCCACTGGGTTTTTTAAGAGTTTTTCCTTGTCGATGCAGGAGGGTCTTGTTGGACAGTTAGTGTCCAACAGAAAGGATTGGTGATGATCAGGACACTTTAGCATTCTACAACATGTATGGACATTTTTTTCTGTGTGTGCTTTATATTCTTCATGTGTTTTAACTGTTGATTCTCTGACCTGTGTTGGTGATTTCAATGGTTTTGTTAAGTCTCTGAGATGACTTCTGTTGTGACCTAGGGCTATACAAGAATAAATTGTATTGTATTGTATTGTGTATGACAGAGCAGACGTGGATGGCCCCGCTGCATTGTGGGTACTACAGTTCTGTTTGACCTGATTCTATTACCCTTTCCCACCTCTGACCGGATCCACCGAGCGAGTGCCGGTAAGGAAACACTTTCACACCAAATGGAATTGAACTTTAAGGTTGAAATTGTGGCCGTCATGAATAAGGAGTGTTGATGGCATTTGGTGGTACAGCTGCTCGGTCTCATTAAAGCGTCCGGCTGCTGCTCGGCTGCTTCAAACCGGGTCCAAACTAAATAATCACGTCGCTCTGCTCTGCCAAAAGTGCCACCGCTCATACAGTGAGGCACAAGGACTCCTGTCAGGTTGTATATATATGTGTGTCACAAATGTGGCATGTGTGTTGGCCTTTCTGAGCGGAGTTTACGTCTTTTTCCCGTGCCTGTGTAGGTTTCTTTGTGACTGGTCTGTGAAAGACGCAGATGGTTAACTATTGTTAGAGTATTTCCGATTCACCATTGCTGGTATTGTTCATTCCTGATGTTTTTGGTATAGATCGTTGTTTGTTACGGTCCACGGTCCGTAATTCCCTTGTTTGGGGATCATTTTAGTTTCTCCTGTGGTGTGTTTGTGTTTCCTCCCTTTACAGAAGACCACGCTCGTGAGTCCTGGGCTCCTATTGGCCAGTCGTTCCCCACCTGGAGCTGATTGACTGCGATGCCTGGGTTCTGATTGGGCAGCAGTTGAGGCAGTCCTCCAATCAGCACGCACTCACCAGGATGACCTGCCCTTTTAAGTTGTCAATCTTCCACGGCTCGGGGCAGCTGGAGTCAGTGGACCCCAGTTTGTTTAGTTTTGTCTGTGTTCTGTCACTTGTGCCGGTGCTTTAATTCAGTGGCTTGTGTAGTTTATGTTAAGACACTTTTAGGTCTTAAAAACTTTTAGGTTTAGGTTACACTTTAGATTTTGCTTACTCGTTTAATACGCTTTTTTTTCTGTAGATATTTAATCCTATTTTGTTGCCTGTTTTGCCTATTTTGTCGTCTTAATAAATTATGATTTTAGTTACCTCTCTAACATCTTGGTTATTTTGTTACTTCCTTTCACCGAAGCTGTTTTCTGTTACTGATGATAACGACAACATTATTTTAACTTTGTATAATCCTTGTATAAAATAACAGTCAAGTTTAACACGTCCATCACTGATTGGGGAATGGTGGGTGGGACTAAATAAGTTACTTTCAGGCACAAATAAGAATCAGTAAATACAGTACATGCTCTTTTTGTCCTCATCTTTTTGCACTATATGACTTGAATGCATATGAAGTGAGTAGAGCGCTGGGAGACAGACAGGTACCGAATGTGATGTGATGTTGTAAAAGTAATTTGGTGGAATTACTTTACAGATGAAAATATGTCTCAGAACCCAGTCTAAAGTGCAGGGGTAGTTCTTAGTTCCTGTATAAATATAAGTATATTCTTAGAAAATGCAAAGACTCCGCAGTCGTCGTTATTTGCTGATAGTGACCCTTCAAATGTTATTTTATTAATTGTTTTGTTCATTTTTTCCCGATGGTACTGCAACAAAATATCACCATAATCCAGCAAATACAACAGTAATTTATGGATTTATATGAAGTTGAGCCAATCCTCTGTATATTTAAAGTCTATTCCTCATGTTTTAAATCTGCTCTAAGTTTCCTGCTGCACAGACACTACCAGCTTTTTACATAATTTGATATTAAATTAATGCATGAATGAAATGTGTCTTTAAAAATAGATGTGAGCCAATGTGTACCTTCATACACATATCAAAAATAACAGTAAAAAAGAGGTTATAGTAAACTCATTTACCTTCATAAATGAAGATTCTCATTGTGTGTGTGTGTGTAATCTCCCACTTCACACGTGTAAAGCAGTGTAACAAGTGCAAACAGAGGAAAGAGTCTGTCAGGGGTGACGCTAACCACCTGTGCCCTGTCCTCGCCAACACAGAGCAGAAAGCCTCATCCATCTTACTGACAAGATCAAATTGTGAAAAATACCTGTTGGTGACAAAGAGGCGTTAGAGATGCCAGGAGAGCCGAGTGCAGGTGGCCCCCAGCCCTGACACCGGCCCTGCCCAGGCACCGGCCCAGGCACCGGCCCAGGCACCGCTCATGCACAAGCAGCTGCCTCGCTAAAGACTGGGCTGTCTGATCTCCCGGGCTCACCATGATGTAAGAGGCCTGACACTCCGGGAACTGCCAATACCGCCATTAGACTCATATTCACTCTGCACCACTCGCAAAACTCAAGCCGAGAAGAGAACGGCCGCCAACTGTGCTTTGGAAGCTCTCGAGTCTAGGATGTGCATAATTCTATAACTGTGAGAATATCAATGACGCACGGATCTGGGTTTTGAATAAGTTTTGCTGATTTTAAATACAGCAGACGTTGATTCACTTCTATTTTCTGTCATTTGTGTGTAAACATTTAACAAAATTGTGAAATACTATGTTTAATCATGAAATTGTACAGTTTTCATAAGATGTGTTTTCATACTAGTCTAAAGTCAGCAGACATGTATTCAGCGGAAGTCAAGCTGAAGACAATACATAATTAGGGAGTGTAGCTTTCTGTTTTTCTCACAGACGTTTTTCGGACAAAGTGAAGAGATGTGGAGGAGGAGGAGAAAGGACTGGACGAGACCTGGACCGGAGACCAGACCAGACCCAGACCAGACTCAGGAGACAGAGGAAGTCTGCAGAGGCACTTCCTGTTTTTCTACACGTTTTACATAAGGTTAGGGCAGGTATAGCAGGGAATAGGAGCTCTGAGTTTTGTATTTGATTGTAAAGATAATTAAATACTATTTATTTGACCTTATTTCTGTATTAAATTCTGAGTTACGTCAGTATTTTTTGGTATATTTGAGTGTATCCTTCCAAGTAAATCAGCTTTATGATATGTATGTCGCCTCTTTCACAGACCAGAGTCACAAAGCGCTTTACAATTGTTGTGGGATTTTGTCCATCACTGCACACAGAGATGGGAGCGGGGTCGTCATACAGGCCTATTGCACATGTTGTTAGTGGTAGGGGAAACTGGAGCACCTGGAGGAAACCTTCGCAGACACAGGAAGAACAGGCAAACTCCATTTCAGAAAGACCCCGTACCGACCGGGATTCGAGACTGGAAAAGTTTGTAGTAGTGACTCTGGGCACCAGTAGGAGGCCAGTCCCTGTGCTCCTCGAGAGTCCGAGTTGGTACCTATGGCACTAACAGGTCATGGATGTACTTTGTGAGATTTCAACAACAGGGTGTGACTAAAAGGACAGTGATTATCCAGGACCTGAACCTTCAACAACATTTATGGACGTTGGTCTCTGCCCTTTATGAACCAATACCAACGTGTTTTCTGTTTTATTTCAACGGTTGTGTAAAGTCCTGTAATAACTCTGGTTGTGATTTAGGGCGATACAAGAAAAAATGTAATTGAATTTTAGTGGCTTCCTATAAATTCAATTCAAATTTATTTCTGAACAGCAGTCGTTTCAAAGGACTCAATTTACCGACAACAGAATCAAGCCGTTTTATTGGAAAATATAAATTAGTTATAATCAGCCACTAGAATCAGACCCAGACGTACATGTAGGGACATAATAATTGACTGGCATTTATTGACCATCCATTTTCTTCCCCTTAATCCATTTCTGGGTCAGGGGGGTGGCAGTCAGAGACACCACCCAAGTCACAGAGCACCAGCCCCTCACTAATCCTTCTGCAGGTGGTGGGTCCACAAGAAGATGGCTGCTCTGTCAGTGAGAGCATAGCCTTGATCTTTCAGCGGGGGCTTCAGGCAAAGTGGGGTTAAGTGTCTTGCCCAAGGACAGAACGACAGCAGACATCAGTGGGAGTCGGTGGAGAAGGTCTTGAGGTGGCCAATGCTCTACAAACTGAGCCACAGTCGCCCGTCGTAATAAAGTCATGTACCTGTTTTCCCGGTGTTCTTCATGGAGGTCTTATTGGAGGACTCTGTGTTGAAGCCCTCTAGCGTAAGCTCCTGGTACTCTATGGACATCTTCGCCTCCGGATCCACGATGTTGATAGGCGACTGGTTCCTCTCGCTGCATTCTGGGTAAGCTCCAGCCCAGCCTTCATCCGGCCCATAAATACCTGCAAACAGCACCACAAACAACACGCTGTCAGAACACTTTGGAAACAGTTTGAGAGGCATGGGTGCTCGCTGACATTTCACAACCATCTCGTGTCTTCACAAACCAGCTGACGGCGAGCTGTGCCAAGTCATCAGAATTCCAATTAAAGCGCAGAATAAACAGCGCCAGGCCGGTCGCAGCCAAACACTTCCATTCATGTGGCAAATAGAGATTTCAAATGTCATTATGGTGACGCGGCGGCTTGTCCCTACTGCTTCCTGCTGCATCATAAACCGCGAGTCACTGTCGTATTCATGGATTGCTTTGGCTTACAGGCAACGCTGGGTTTAAACATTTAACTTCCTCAGATTCAGGAGAGTTGTGGGACGTCTTAAGAGAGCCACAAAGCACCTACGGTTTATGAGAAAGCCAACCAAAGAGATGTGATTTGTCTTCCATTATGTCTTCTGTTTTTCTTGACAAACTCTACAAAACCGACTTTACCAATGGTGTAAAGAGAATTCCAGTGGGTCACTGTTAGTAGAGTTGTTGGATTTTCATTAAAGTGAATTAGAATATATTCAAAGTTTAGACAACTTTGGGTTAACCTACTGTGTGGTGGGATGGAGCATTCTCCCATCCCCCAGTCATGAGTGAAAGAGCATAAGTAAACAAGAGCATAAGTAAACAAGAGCATAAGTAAACAAGAGCAGAGTAAATAAGCAGAAAGCCGAAAACATCTGTTTTCAGTAGATCTCATGTTTATTTAGAGGGAAGCCACGTCTTCTCTGAGGGAGAGGAAGGTGGGACATATTGTCACATGTGTTTCAAATTATCAGGGTATAAGACCAGAGCTCTTGGTCCATTCTTGGTCACTCTTCTGCTTTCCATCCAGCAGAGACCCAGACTAGACTGTAGTCTGTAACTTGTCTGTTTGTGCTGATGTCCAGATAACCTGTAGTTTTGAACCAGCGGCTGACAACATGTATTAAAGAGATCATGTTGTTGGAATGTGACTAGTTATTCACAGTCACAATCGGCTGTAAATCTCTATCTCAAGGCCATCGAGCACACCGTGAACGACACAGAGGTTAAAAGTTCTGGCTCGAGACAAAAATGAGTTGAGAGAGCGGTAAAAGAAGCCGTTTTTGAGAGTAAACACAAACCATCTGTGAACGGAAGAGGCGGGTAAAGATTTGTTTTCTATCTATCACGACGTCCTAAAAACAATGGCCTAACAATAGATGAGGTCAGTGGTATGCTAATGAGGTAGGATCGTTAGACCTGCTCCCACCCGACCAATCTCAGAAGGACAATAGTGATATGCTAATGAGGTAGGATCGTTAGACCTGCTCCCACCCGACCAATCTCAGAAGGACAATAGTGATATGCTAATGAGGTAGGATCGTTAGACCTGCACTCCACCCGACCAATCTCAGAAGGACAATAGTGATATGCTAATGAGGTAGGATCGTTAGACCTGCACTCCACCCGACCAATCTCAGAAGGACAATAGTGATATGCTAATGAGGTAGGATCGTTAGACCTGCACTCCACCCGACCAATCTCAGAAGGACAATAGTGATATGCTAATGAGGTAGGATCGTTAGACCTGCACTCCACCCGACCAATCTCAGAAGGACAATAGTGATATGCTAATGAGGTAGGATCGTCAGACCTGCACTCTACCCGACCAATCTCAGAAGGACAATAGTGATATGCTAATGAGGTAGGATCGTTAGACCTGCACTCCACCCGACCAATCTCAGAAGGACAATAGTGATATGCTAATGAGGTAGGATCGTTAGACCTGCACTCCACCCGACCAATCTCAGAAGGACAATAGTGATATGCTAATGAGGTAGGATCGTTAGACCTAGTCAAATCGTTACACCTAATCGGATCATTAGACCTGCTCCCACCCACCACTTAGCAGACCTTAGATGTGTTAATAAGTTAGCCTCAGGATCAGGGTTTAGCCACAGGTTAACTCTCCAATCCGCCGCTGAGATTTCATTCCCTTGAGAAAGAACGAAATCACAGATGATGCTAACTGAACTACAGATGATGCTAACTGAAGCACAGATGATGCTAACTGAAGTACAGATGATGCTAACTGAACTACAGATGATGCTAACTGAACTACAGATGATGCTAACTGAAGTACAGATGATGCTAACTGAAGCACAGATGATGCTAACTGAAGTACAGATGATGCTAACTGAACTACAGATGATGCTAACTGAAGTACAGATGATGCTAACTGAAGCACAGATGATGCTAACTGAAGTACAGATGATGCTAACTGAAGTACAGATGATGCTAACTGAACTACAGATGATGCTAACTGAACTACAGATGATGCTAACTGAAGTACAGATGATGCTAACTGAACTACAGATGATGCTAACTGAAGTACAGATGATGCTAACTGAAGTACAGATGATGCTAACTGAAGTACAGATGATGCTAACTGAAGTACAGATGATGCTAACTGAAGTACAGATGATGCTAACTGAAGTACAGATGATGCTAACTGAAGTACAGATGATGCTAACTGAAGTACAGATGATGCTAACTGAAGTACAGATGATGCTAACTGAAGTACAGATGATGCTAATGAAGCTACAGATGATGATGCTAACTGAAGTACAGATGATGCTAACTGAAGTACAGATGATGCTAACTGAAGTACAGATGATGCTAACTGAAGTACAGATGATGCTAACTGAAGTACAGATGACTGCTAATCTATGAAGTACAGATGATGCTAACTGAAGTACAGATGATGCTAACTGAAGTACAGATGATGCTAACTGAAGTACAGATGATGCTAACTGAAGTACAGATGATGCTAACTGAAGTACAGATGATGCTAACTGAAGTACAGAGATGCTAACTGAAGTACAGATGATGCTAACTGAAGTACAGAGATGCTAACTGAAGCACAGATATGCTAACTGAAGCACAGATGATGCTAACTGAAGTACAGATGATGCTAACTGAATACAGATGATGCTAACTGAATACAGATGATGCTAACTGAAGTACAGATGATGCTAACTGAAGACAGATGATGCTAACTGAAGTACAGATGATGCTAACTGAATACAGATGATGCTAACTGAATACAGATGATGCTAACTGAATACAGATGATGCTAACTGAAGTACAGATGATGCTAACTGAAGTACAGATGATGCTAACTGAAGTACAGATGATGCTAACTGAAGTACAGATGATGCTAACTGAAGTACAGATGATGCTAACTGAAGTACAGATGATGCTAACTGAAGTACAGATGATGCTAACTGAAGTACAGATGATGCTAACTGATACAGATGATGCTAACTGAAGTACAGATGATGCTAACTGAAGTACAGATGATGCTAACTGAAGTACAGATGATGCTAACTGAAGTACAGATGATGCTAACTGAAGTACAGATGATGCTAACTGAAGTACAGATGAGCTAACTGAAGTACAGATGATGCTAACTGAAGTACAGATGATGCTAACTGAAGTACAGATGATGCTAACTGAAGTACAGATGATGCTAACTGAAGTACAGATGATGCTAACTGAAGTACAGATGATGCTAACTGAAGCACAGATGATGCTAACTGAAGTACAGATGATGCTAACTGATGATGCTAACTGAAGTACAGATGATGCTAACTGAAGTACAGATGATGCTAACTGAAGTACAGATGATGCTAACTGAAGTACAGATGATGCTAACTGAAGTACAGATGATGCTAACTGAAGTACAGATGATGCTAACTGAAGTACAGATGATGCTAACTGAAGTACAGATGATGCTAACTGAAGTACAGATGATGCTAACTGAAGTACAGATGATGCTAACTGAAGTACAGATGATGCTAACTGAACTCAGATGATGCTAACTGAATACAGATGATGCTAACTGAAGTACAGATGATGCTAACTGAAGTACAGATGATGCTAACTGAAGTACAGATGATGCTAACTGAAGTACAGATGATGCTAACTGAAGTACAGATGATGCTAACTGAAGTACAGATGATGCTAACTGAAGTACAGATGATGCTAACTGAAGTACAGATGATGCTAACTGAAGTACAGATGATGCTAACTGAAGTACAGATGATGCTAATGATGATGCTAACTGAAGTACAGATGATGCTAACTGATGATGCTAACTGAAGTACAGATGATGCTAACTGAAGTACAGATGATGCTAACTGATGCTAACAGTACAGATGTAACTGAAGTACAGATGATGCTAACTGAAGAAGTACAGATGATGCTAACTGAAGTACAGTTGATGCTAACTGAAGTACAGATGATGCTAACTGAAGTACAGATGATGCTAACTGAAGTACAGTTGATGCTAACTGAAGCACAGATAATGCTAACTGATGATGCTAACTGAAGTACAGATGATGCTAACTGAAGTACAGATGATGCTAACTAAAGTACAGATGATGCTAACTGAAGTACAGATGATGCTAACTGAAGTACAGATGATGCTAACTGAAGTACAGATGATGCTAACTGAAGTACAGATGATGCTAACTGAAGTACAGATGATGCTAACTGAAGTACAGATGATGCTAACTGAAGCACAGATGATGCTAACTGAAGTACAGATGATGCTAACTGAACTACAGATGATGCTAACTGAAGTACAGATGATGCTAACTGAAGTACAGATGATGCTAACTGAACTACAGATGATGCTAACTGAAGCACAGATGATGCTAACTGAAGCCCAGATGATGCTAACTGAAGCACATATGATGCTAACTGAAGTACAGATGATGCTAACTGAAGCACAGATGATGCTAACTGAAGTACAGATGATGCTAACTGAAGTATAGATGATGCTAACTGAAGCACAGATGATGCTAACTGAAGTACAGATGATGCTAACTGAAGTACAGATGATGCTAACTGATGATGCTAACTGAAGTACAGATGATGCTAACTGAAGTACAGATGATGCTAACTGAAGCACAGATGATGCTAACTGAAGTACAGATGATGCTAACTGAAGTACAGATGATGCTAACTGAAGTACAGATGATGCTAACTG